CCACTTTGTTAAGTATATAAGTATTTTGGGGTGGCATAATACTTGGATGTATCGCCACCCCAGTGGTTAAACCTTCACTTTCACATTGCCTTGCACTGCCTGAACCTGGGTTCGATCCATAGTGGAGATCAACCCTTTTTATTTATTTTCCTATCTTGCCTTGTTTTCATATTTTGGTCTTTCTTTCCTTCCAATACATGCGCGCGCGCCTTGGCCCATTTGGTAGGATTTTAAGTTGGCATCCATGAGGTGGTGGGTTCAACACCCACCAAGCGCCTCCCTCTCTTTTTATCACTAATTTCTCTTGTTTTATTTAATTGTTATTAAATTTCTAAAAGTCGTAACTTCCTCAATTTTTGTCATTTTTTATTGGTTCTTTTTGCAACTATCTTGTATTTGTGCATATTTTCATGTGGTACATTATTTTTCTAAAAACTCTTTTTTGAAAACAACTTTGCATTGAAAATGTTCATGCCTCTTTTAGGGTTTTTACCCTCCTAATCTTTTCAAGCTTTTGATTTATTTTGTTGTGATGTGAGTTCTATGTTTGTCAACCCTTGTGTATGTAATTGCCATTACTCTTTGCTAGTGAGCATTATGTTTGATTCATTTGATTTCCATCTCCTGGAAGTTATACTTGTTTGCATTGGTCGTTACCTTCATCTTTGTCAAGATATGCTTAAGTCTTTATCTTTCATTGAGTCTTGTAAGAACTCATCTTTGCTTGCCTATTGTAATATGCTTGCATGTTTTGGTTATGAACATCTATTTGTTTGAAATCATTGATATTGTGATATCCTTATACCATGCTTTGGTTGTAACCTTTCATCCTATTTGACGTACTTGCTTATTGTAATATGCTTGTATATGCTTGGTTGTAACCATATTTCTTTGTATTCATGTTTGTTTGATTGTTTATGCTTTGTTAAGTTTATTTTCCCCAAGTGATGGAACTCTTTAGTTCTCATCCAAGTTGCCTCCCCTTCTATCCTTCCAAAGGAAAGTCTCTCTATTGACCTTTGTGTCATAGATAGCTCATTACCCTCCCTTGACTTTGTAAGGTCATCTATACACTTAGTTAAGTTAGAACCTATCCATTGGATTTTGCTTAAGTCTAAGAAGCCTAACCCTTGTTAGGAGTGCTCTTTCAATTAGAACTTAGGATAGAGTTTGTTAACTCTATGTAAGAATCATGGAGATGATTACTTGCTTCCCTTTCTCGAGTGTTCAATTTAGATCTAGAGAGTTTCTTTAAACTCTACACAAGCATTGTAATGTTTGTTCCCATTTGAACCTTGATCATAATCAAGTGTTCTTCATCCCTAGTAAGGTGAACTACGGTTGCTCTGATTCTATCCTAGTTAGGATACATAGGCAGAGGACGCGATGTCTTTGCGAGCAAATTTAGAAACTATCCTTAGGTCTTTACCTACACCTTTTACCCAATCCCAATCCATAGCAAACATTTAACAAACTTAGCATACAAACAAACAAAAGGTTCATGTAGAGTACTACAAATGTTTAGGATGTTAAATACATACCCTATGCATAACCAACCCCCGATCCCCGAATCTCTTAGCGTTGTTGTAACATCGCGCAAAAGGTTCTTTCTTTCTTTAGACCTTTCCTTTGGATAAATTAAAGTTCGGTTGTGAATTTAAGAATTAAGATTCAAGTTAATCAATAGCTTGGTATCACGATTCTCACCGCAACAACATCGCCATCAGGAATCTACGGATTTGATACACCTCTGACATTGCCGTCAGTAACTTGTAGGGGATGAAGAATCTGGCCTTGACGCCAGGCATCCGCGTAATTGAGAAACATCTAACATCAACCTCAGACGTCTATTGCAACCAATAAACAACGAACTCAAAGTTGGATCACCGAGAAGCTAACAAACATCAGGCATCGCCGCCAGACAACCAGAGAGCTGTTGAACCTCTGACATCGCCGCCAGACCAACACAAAGCTGATAAAGTCCTCTAGTATCACCGCTAGACAAACACAAAGTTGAGAAGGATTGGCTGATAAACCTCTACAAACTAGTAGACAATTGTTGAATAGGACAAATCCTCAAACCCGAAGGCCATGTCAACCCGCATCTGATACACATCTGACATCACCGTCAGGCACCCGCTAAATAAAAATGAGCATCTGACCTCGCCGTCAGATCAACGCGGAGCCGATAAACTTCTGATGAGAAATTCCAAAGGAACTCCGCTGGGGAAAAGAGAGAACTTGAAAAAGTAACCCTGATGGAGCTTCACTACGAAGCACAGGAGAACATGCACACCACTATCCCGAATCTTTTGTCGAACACGTCAACCTTCCAGAGATTACCTAAAACAAAAACATAACCGCCTGGCCTATGTTTCATATGCACATGTTTTGATATGGCGTAATGATCTATACGAAATGGAAATGCTACGCGTTTCTGAGGATGCTATGCACGCATGCAGATGCAATGGAACCGAAGCAGCAAAATAAATGTTGGAAATATGGAGACCACCCTGCTGGGAAAAGAAAACGACCTTGCTGGGGATAGTTAGCACATGTCAGTAAATTGGACTTAAGCTAGGGAAGACAACCTCGAGTAGCTTCCTGAACAAAATCTTCTGAATAGCAAACGAACTGCTGTGGAGATAGAACAATATGCCAGACGGTAATTCTACTCCGTTGGGGATTATGTCCAATCCTGCTGACGAAAATGCCATGAATGTCCTTCTAGAATATAAACCTTCTGGAGAATAGGCGACCCTACCGGAGAAAAAAAACCACACACGGGAACCCGTTCGCCTGTTAGGGAATCAACGACTCTGCGGAGAATAACGATCCACCTTCCGAGATTAACCACGTTCTACCAGGGACATCAGCCCTAAATAGCCTGCAAGAATATAACATTATGGGGAACAGACACCTCTGCTGGAGAAACAACGCAAACTGCACAGACCTCACTCCAATACTGGGAGTACTCAGTTGGGGAAGAAACGTTTCCTCTCTGACTCCACTGGGGATAACACAATGAGGGAATCAACCTCAGCTTCTACTTGGGGAGGTGAGGAAGGGACTCATCAATGACAACTTGACCTCTGATGGGGTACAAAGTCACCTGCTCAGATTCTGTGGGGATCAAATGTATATCGACCAACTTCCAGGGACAAGGATACACACTTAACTACTCCTTTAACCAAGCATACAACTCCACTGGGGATAGAGATGCAAACTCCAATTGCTGATGATGGACTCTGGTTTGGGAGAATAACCTTGTTTGAGTAACTGCCCCAGTGTAGTTCAATTTGCCTCAGTCTAATCTCTAGGACGAAAAGGAAAGCTTGCCATGAAATGAACTCGAGATGGCTTGTCCCTGAATTCACAACATGAATGGATTTGTCTCTAGCTGATCATTTCTAATAAATTCTGAAGATACGGAGAAGAACCTTTCCTCCGTTCCCAATTTTGCCCTAGCCCGTGGGATCTCTACAACATCTTCCTCGAAAGGAAACCTGAGCTTTCTATACCCTGCCGGTTTGGTATGAACTGCCTCAGCATTTTGAACCTCGAAGAGGTGCTCCATGTTAACTGCCTTCTATAATAGCTTCTGTGCTTTTTAGGGTAATCTGCCCCAACCTCACAATAACTCTGCCACTGACTGGCTGGCTGATGAAGCAGTATCTCTGGCTGCGAGAGATTTACCGAATCTCGACTTGATTGCCTCAGATTAACTGACTTTTAAATGGTTGACTCCCATGACATGATCATTTGATATATTTCCCCGGTTCAACGAAGTGGGCGATCTGCATTTTATACTGATCCAACTTTCCATTGTGGAAACTTTCCTGCTGTCGAGCGCTTACTCGCAAGTAAAACACATTGTTCTGCATAAAAGATATATTAATGCGATGCATATGACAGTTTCGAAAACCAAGTCTGTTCACTGAAAAAAATGTGACATATAATAGATGAAATCATTCATCAAAATGTCAACATTAATACAACGCTGTAAGGGGAATCCTGTTAGAAGTCAGTTCCGGCGCGATCTTTACCGAAGTATGCTTTCGAAACAACTCTGCTTCAATTAGGACTTTTGAAGGTTGTAACTTGGTCAGGTTCACGGTTTTTAGAAACAAGGATAAAAGGCTCAAAATTCATTTTAACCCACCCATTCTCCGTGATGTTCTCCAATCCTACATTCAGCTAATTCAACACAAGTGCTCACCTCACAAAGGTTGAATGACCGGAGTGATGGTTCAGGAAACCACAAGTTTTCGGAGTCGCAGTCACTCGCTTTTCGTCTTTGGGTTGCCTAGAGTCACACGACTTGTTTGTTCGAGGATTTTTCTTTTGTAATCCTTCCCGTTTTTCGCTTTTTTCGCTTTTTCCCTAGCTTTTGGCTGGACTGGCTCTTTTGAGCTTCTTTTAATTTCAAAGTCCAGCGGGATGACCTAATTTTTGCCTAAGCCGCTTGTTTTCAAGATTCGACTTAGCGGGCTTCTTCTTTGGATTCCTTTTTTTTTTGAACAAATCGGGTAACACTGGCTTGTCTGACTTGTTAAAGGGATTGTGACCGTTTCACTCTTTGGTATCACAGTTTCAAGCTCTTCCTGATCAACTCTAAGCACATGCTTGCTTTTTAGCATTTCAATTTCCCCTACATACTTTATCCTTGGCTATAGGTTTAGCAGACGACCCAAAGGAAAATCCTATCTTAATTCCATCTTCTGCATTTAGTTCCCTTGTAGTCTCTACCTGTGAAGGCTGATCGAACTCTGGATTAGATAGCTGCATCAATTGCTCAGCCCTTTCAATTTGTTTTTGGATCTCTTTCTATTTTTTTCTTCATCTACCAAATCTGCCTTGATTCGCGTATTCTTCATCTTCTCCTTGAACAGGGTTTATGAATCTCTATCTATGTATGTAATGAACCATCCCTTGGGTGTTTCTTCAACCTTACATTTTCCAATTCGACCCAAGTACTTAACAAATTCAGTAAGTGTAGCCTACTCAGTGGAGTTCATATGAACATGGTTTCTATCATTTATATATTCATTATACACTACAGTCGCAGCCACACGGCTAAATCGATGGCTACGCTTCATGTGCTCAAGAAAAGTAGTCTCAAATTCTTCAGTATAGCCCTCAATTATGCAAGTTGGGTTTTGTCCAAAAATTTGCATTTGACGCTGGTGCCCTTCACTCATGCAATGGCATTTGAAACTATTCTCGTCACGACACTGCTTCTGGCACATCTGGCAATACCACCGAAGCTTCTGCAGTCCTTTTGCTTTAATTCGATTGGCAATTGCCTTAGGTGTGAGAAAGTCGTTTTTCCCCATTGACAATCTGGATGGACCGTTTCAGATCAAACAAAATAATATCAGTAATCCTGCCCGGAGATTATGTCTGCTTCTGAAAAACACAAACAAGAAAGACAATATCATCGATAAATACGGCTTTGTAAGAACTAAAACTCATAATGTGTTAGAACATGAAGGAATCTTGTATTCCTATGAAATTATATTAATCGCCAAACACAAAGATATGCATAAAACTCCCTGAAATAATATTTCCATGATTATAGTTTTAATCCTTGGCAAACACATTCTTATTTGAGCACATGAATGCTATTTAAAATTAAAACATGATTTATGATTCTCTCTCCAATGATTAAGTAAAAGATGAGTCCAGGAATGCTCTAACAGAAACTTTAAATTATATTACCAAGAAAAAGGATAACCCCTTGATTACAACACCATAAATTTCAGAGGCCTGACAACCTCCCAAGATGAAAGACACAATTTCTCTCAAAAAGACATGGCGCCCTTTCCCTCCTCTATTTAACTATTTATTTTTTACATGTTTTATGATATCCAAATTCTAAACCTCTCTAACTACTTGAGTCTACTAACTACTGAGAATATGGAGTGTGAATCAAGTCTGTATTTGAATCGAAACTGGGATAATGATGCAAGTTCCTCCCTTTGGAATCAAGTAGATTCATATCTAAAAAGGTTGAGAACACGATCTTTCAAAATTCACTACTTCTCCACCTGTTAGAGGTATCTCGATCCTATAGGTTTCCCCAGATAATTATGACCGTAAATACTGCATATTTTATTACATTCATAAACCTATTTTCTTCACTATGAATTATAATAAGACAACTATCAGAAGAAAAAGTGTAGTGCCAAAATCCCCAAGCCTCGTAAATAGACACGACCTATAATCTATTGAAGAGAAGATGAATCACAATTGAAAACCCTAGTCCTAATTGATGTCTTTCTCGTAGTAAACTATCTACAACTAAACAATCAAACACATGAACAAATCAAGAAAATATTATATTGCAAATCAAATTACTTAGCAACTCACCATCAATTACTACAACTTATTGAGAAGGTATCCGGATTCCATGTTAATTAGTCCTCCGATTTTTCAGAAGCATAATAAATTAATAATGTATTTTGATGTAATAGTACTTTGAATTTTGAAGCAAGCATATTATGTAAAAGATATTATGTAATTATAACAAGCACACCATAATCAACACACATTCAGTTCCTTGTGCATGTGAATGAATGCTAATTAAAACTTGAGATATGATTCTCACTCCAACAACTGTAACAAGGGCTGATTTAACTCTTACTTGATCAAGTAGAAAAATGAGTGTACACTGTTCTGATAGGAATCTGAAATCCTATTAACAAGAATAAGGAAAATCCTCTTGATTACAACATTGAAAAAACGCAAATTTCCTCTCAAAAGAGCAATATGCCCTTTCCTCGAAACATGTTCTACAACTAAGTTGAAGTTTGTGATAGTAAATGCCTAGGAAGAGAAAGTACCAAAGTAGGCAGACATAGAACCAATAGAAAAAATCTAATCTAGCAACATAGACAACAAACAATCAGAAGCAAAATTGCTATTGAGTTGATGCAAAAATCTCATAGCCTCATAAATCAACATTTCAAATAAGCTATCGTGGTTGCAGGGGAGGTGAATCAAAACCCTAGTCAAAACAGGTTCATACCGAAAACCAATTCTAAAACAAAATTCCTTAAATCAGTTTTAACAGAACCGTTTTTGCTTTACCCATATTTATATGCTTAAACTGGTTCATACCAAAAATTCGACCGTGGTTTAATTGTTTCGACCAATACCTACCTATATAATGAACTGCAAGGTTTTGTGAAATTAATTATTAACAATGTGAAACTCACCTCGTAACTACGATAATGAGCAGATCCTTCACTTAAATTTGCGACGATTGTGACGGTAAGCGGCGTGTTTGTGGAGGCGGCGGTCGTTTGGGCGTGAATTGGAAATTAGGGATTAGGGTTCGAAGCTCTCTGAAGGAAGAAGAATAGAGCGTTAAAGCCTGATTTTAAATAGGGGTGGCAAATGGATGGATATAGATTGGATTGTTAATGGATGGATTAAAACAATCCATTATTCCACTAACAATCCACTAATTTTTTTTTTTTAAAATTATCCAATCCAATCCATCCATTAAGAATAAAATTCATTCAATCCATCCATTAACATATTTTTAATGGATGGATATCCATCAATCCAATTTTTTTTTTATTTAAAAAAAATGTGTTTTTTTATTTTTAAAAATCAATTTTATTTTGATTTTGAAAAATTCATTTTTTGTATTTAAAAAAATTGTTTTTTAATATATTCATAAAAAAAATTGAATTTTTTGTTAAAAAAATTATTTTTTGTATTTTCAAGAAAAAAGTTGATATTTTAATTTTTGAAAAATATCGATTTTCTTTTTCGGGAAAAAAATTGTTTTTTTTATAAAAAAAAATTGGATTTTTCGGGGAAAAAAAACCAATTTTTTTGCGAAAAGAATTCGATTTTTTTTTTGGAAAAATTCCGATTTTTTTATTGAAAATAAAACCAATTCTTTTGTTATTATTTGAGTTTAAATAGTTTTAAATATCAATATCTTACGGATCACTTATAAATGATTTATAATAGTATTTGCTAGAAAAACAACATACATTTTTAATGTAAGTATAAACTAGTTTTACAAGTCCAATACAACTTAGATATTTTGAAGTTATCTTTAAATTACAATTACAAAGTGATCTTAAGTAGATAATTATTTTAACCAAATATTTTTATTGTTATTTTTATTTTAGTATTAATCAATAATACCTTCATGTAAGACTCTTTGTTTAAGTAGGCAACCAATAAATGTTTATAATGACCTTTCAATCCAACAACAAATATACTCCAATTTGGATATTACCATAATACCATTCACCAAAGATGCCACATCTTGGACATTAGCACACGAAGGCAAAAATGTCAGCTTTTCCTATTTTCTTCTAATTATTTATTACATATTGAGTCGATAAATCCTATATTCAATCCAAATTGTTTGGCTTCAATATTTATTTATTGTTTGAAACAAACCAAACTAACCTAGTCTGGCTCCAAATTACTGGAATAATACATTATTTCAAACACAAGAGCCTATATAAAAAATATATTTTTGTAAATATAGTCTTGAGATACTTGTATATGTTGAATCTATAAGTTTTACAACTTAGTTCAAAACTACTGAATTTTTAAAGTATTAAAAATATTATTTAATCAAAGTGATTTAAAAAATTCAAAACTATTTCATGTATAATGTTAGACAATTATTTCAAAGTACTGACATTTTTCTACTTCAATATTTTTGTCATATGCATATTTAAACCAAAAAAGATTCATTTTAATTGAATTATTGCGGTGATATAATATTGTGACGAAATTAAAACAAGAGATCAAAGTGGCGCAATGGAAGCATGGTGGGCCCATAACCCACAGGTCTCTGGATCAAAACTAGGCACTGATAGTGTTTCATTTTTCTATTTTTCTTCTGTTAACATGCTCTACGAAGAACCTTGCTTTGCCTGCCATAAATTAGAAAAGAGAGGACTCTAGAGTCTAGAGCTTCTACATAATACATCTACATAATACATAACAACCAATCCAGAAACACAAAAATTATCATTAAATCAAACTCACTAGGCTACTTTACATATGTCCTCATATTCACGTCCCCCAACCTGTGGTATCACAGTTTCAAGCTCTTCCTGATCAACTCTGAGAACATGCTTGCTTTCTAGCATTTCAATTTCTCCTACATACTAGTCAATCACTTTCCTCACAACACCTTTTTGCTTGTAGTACCCTTTCTATACTAAGACTTTGCTCATAACCTTCACAACAATTCCCTCATGCAACCAATAATCCTTCCTGTTGATTTTTTCCTTTTTCCTCTCTTCCTCGTGGATCATTTCATCCAAAGTTGATTTCCACCACCACTTTCTTTCCTCTTCAAATTGTTCACATGATTCTTTTCCTCATATTTCTCTTCATCAGCCTCATCAAACGCCATCCTCAATGCCTCGCCTTTATCCTTGGCTATAGGTTTAGCAGACGGCCCAAGAGAAAATCCTATCTTAATTCCATCTTCTGCATTTAGTTTCCTTGTAGTCTCTACCTGTGAAGGCTGATCGGACTCTGGATTAGATAGTTGCATCAATTGCTTAGCCCTTTCAATTTGTTTTTGGATCTCTTTCTCTTGTTTTTCTTCCTTAAACTCACTAGGCTACTTTACATATGTCCTCATATTCCACGGCTTTAAGCACCCTACCATCATAGACACCTTTCTCTATCTGCACCTTAGCGCAAAATCGATCTGTATCCACCCCGAGCAGCCTAGCAAGGGATCCGTGATAAGCCCCATTTACTATTTTTACACGTCCCTCAACCTGTGGTATCACAGTTTCAAGCTCTTCCTGATCAACTCTGAGAACATGCTTGCTTTCTAGCATTTCAATTTCTCCTACATACTTGTCAATCACTTTCCTCACAACACCTTTTTGCTTGTAGTACCCTTTTTATGCTAAGACTTTGCTCATAACCTTCACAACAATTCCCTCATGCAACCAATAATCCTTCCTGTTGATTTTTTCCTTTTTCCTCTCTTCCTCGCGGATCATTTCATCCAAAGTTGATTTCCACCACCACTTTCTTTTTACACGTCCCCCAACCTGTGGTATCACAGTTTCAAGCTCTTCTTGATCAACTCTGAGAACATGCTTGCTTTCTAGCATTTCAATTTCTCCTACATACTTGTCAATCACTTTCCTCACAACACCTTTTTGCTTGTAGTACCCTTTCTATACTAAGACTTTGCTCATAACCTTCACAACAATTCCCTCATGCAACCAATAATCCTTCCTGTTGATTTTTTCCTTTTTCCTCTCTTCCTCGCGGATCATTTCATCCAAAGTTGATTTCCACCACCACTTTCTTTCCTCTTCAAATTGTTCACATGATTCTTTTCCTCAAATTTCTCTTTGTCAGCCTCATCAAACGCCATCCTCAATGCCTCGCCTTTATCCTTGGCTATAGGTTTAACAGACGGCCCAAGAGAAAATCCTATCTTAATTCCATCTTCTGCATTTAGTTTCCTTGTAGTCTCTACCTGTGAAGGCTGATCGGACTCTGGATTAGATAGTTGCATCAATTGCTCAGCCCTTTCAATTTGTTTTTGGATCTCTTTCTCTTGTTTTTCTTCATCTACCAAATCTGCCTTGATTCGCTTATTCTTCGTCTTCTCCTTGAACAGGGTTTCTGAATCTCTATCTATGTATGTAATGAACCATCCCTTGGGTGTTTCTTCAACCTTACATTTTCCAGTTCGACCCAAGTACTTAACAAATTCAGTAAGTGTAGCCCACTCAGTGGAGTTCATATGAACATGGTTTCTATCATTTATATATTCATTATACACTACAGTCGCAGCCACGCGGCTAAATTGAAGCTCTTTGAAGGAAGAAGAATAGAGCGTTAAAGCCCGGTTTTAAAGTGAAGTTATGAAGGAGGATTATTGAAAGATGAATTCTAGTGGGTGTATTTTCAAGGAACCAAATGAATCGTACCTGAAATCCAGCAAGCTCTTAATGAGGGAGATGACATATGCTATAGGGTTTTTTTTTAATTACGAGGTTTTAAATGAGAAAAGCAATTTTCACATTTTCGAGAAATTATAATTTAAAAAAAGAATTTAGTTGATTTAAAAGAATCTTTTACGGCCGATCAACGGAATCAAATTTGATACCACAATTAAATAATTGAATTATAAAAATTAAATGAATTTAATACAAACGAAAAATTAGTTAAGTAAATTAAATTTAAATTATTTATAATTCGATTCATTAGATTTATAAATCAACTCAATTATATATAAAAATAATTATATTATCTTTAAGTGGAGGTTAAAAAATTTATTTTAAAATTTAACTCTATATTTTCTTTTACTCTATTGGTAGAAAATATAGAGTGGTATTCCGTATGACAGCAAATATTTTATTCATTTTAATATTTTCTTCGTTCCTTTTTACGTGTCATTTTTTGGATAACCTTTTTGTTTTTTTTTAATTGTCACTTGCAAAATTTAAGATAGTATTAAATGCAGTTTTGTCAAAATTACTCATAGATAATTATTACAGAGAGATAAAAAAACAAAATAAATGTAATAAATAATTAAGGGTATTATAGGTAAAAAGAAAATTATTTTATAAAAAGTTACAATATTAATTAGTTTTCTTAGAATGTGTAAAAAATCAAATTGTGACACTTAAAAAATAACGGATGAAATATCTATTGTAGCTTTGGAGTAAACCTTTGTGTAGTTTTTGAATTAGTAGAATTTTAATATGAAGTTAAATTTCAATTCATAATTGATCATATCGGACTAGAAAGAGATCAGCAGCCAACAATGCGTCGTGAGCTTCTAATTCGTGGGTGGCGGTGAAGAGGATGGGGTGTACTTGCAAGGTACTCTGATGCCAAAGTAAGAAACAGAGTAAAGAGAGAGCAAGTGCATAAAGGCTAGTGAGTTTAGAATTAGAATATATGACCCTCTACTGAAAGAAGGTCTTTATAATGTGCCATAGTGCAAGACCAATGGTTATTTGCATTGGGTCGGATCATGAGGTCCAATACAAATAACTGTCAGGGCCTACGTGGCGTACAGAAGACCAGCTTGTGGTATTCGTCATGGGTCAACTGTCCTGTGATCTTCTGAAGGTGTGTGACCTGTTCTTTCGGACGCGAGAAGTTGTCTGATAATGTGTCTCCGTGTGGGAGAACATGGAGATTGTGGGGGAGATGCGTGAGGGCTCCCCGGGTGAGATGATGGGTCTTCATTAGACCCTTATTGACGAGGAGTTAGGTTGGATCGTGCCCGACGGTGGGTCAGCCTCAAGTCCAGTCCAGAATAATAATTTTATTTTATTTCAATAAAGCAAACCACGCTCTAGGAGATTGCTTCAAGTCGTACAAACTACGATGCAATTTACACACCACCTTAGTCTCATAATTTTTATGTATCCTAGAGGGATATCCATATATATTTCTTCTTTCAAGTCCCCATGGAGAAAGGCATTTTTTACGTCTAACTGATGCAATGGCTAATTAATATTTACTGCAAGAGATAAAAGAACTCGGACAGTGCTTAACTTGGCAATAGGTGAAAAGGTTTCTTGATAGTTACGCCATATGTTTGTGTAAAGCCTTTAGCTACTAATCTTACTTTGTACCTTTTAATATACCCATAAGCTTTGTACTTGATAGAGAAAACCCACTTACACCTGTTACGGTGAGAATCAAATATCAAGGTATTAATTAACTTGAATCACAAATCATGAAGTTCACCACCGAGCTTTGATTTATCCAAAAGAAAGGGTAAAGATCGAAGAAAACCCTAAGTGCGCTACGTAACAATGAAGCTAAGAGGTCTAAGGTTCGGGGGTTAGTTATACCTAGGGAAGGTGTTAGCATCCTAAGTATCTGTAGTACTCTACAGGAACCTCTTGTTAGTATTGTGTTATTGATAAAGTTTGATTGCCAAGTGAAAAGGTGCGAAGGTAAAGACCTAGGGGTATATACACTAAGTATGCTCGCCAAGACGTCGCATCTCATGCCTACGTATCCTAACTAGGATGGAATCAGAGCAACCGTAGTTCTCCTTACTAGGGATGAAGAACACTTGATTATGATCAAAGTTCAAGAGGGGAACAAACATCACAATTCTTGTATAGAGTTTATCCAAACTCTCTAGATCTATGTTGAACACTCAAGAAAGGGGAGTAAGTAATCATCTCCATGATTCTTACATAGAGTTAACCAAACTCTACCTAACTCTACGTTGTAAGACCAATTGGTTCTATCCAGACCAAAAGGAGAAAGAAAGGGGAAGGTTGTTCGTCAAGATATCGCATCTTGTGCCTACGTATTCTCATTGTCCAATGAGAAATCAGAGCGGTCGTAGTTCGAGCGCGAACTAAGGAATAAGGATCAATTGGTTCTTTCCAAACCAAAAGAGGGAGAAGGTTCTATCCAGACCTATGAGTTTAAATCCTATTAGTTCTATCCAGACCAAAAGGGGGAGGAAGGTTTTATCCAGACCTATGAGAGTAATGAGCTATCTATGACCCAAGGGTCAATAGAGAGACTTTCCTTTGGAAGGGGAAAGATGAGGCAGCTTGGATGAGAACTAAAGAGTTTCATCATTTGGGGAAATAACTTAACAAAGCAATAATTATTCAAACATGATGAATATAAGAGGTATGGTTACAACCAAGAACATGCAAGCATATTACAATATCAAGCAAGGATTTCAATCAAGATAAATGGTTACGACCAAAGCAAGTATCAAGATATTATAACATCAATGATAATCAAACAATGTCACAACAAAAGTAAGTGAGAAGTTCAACACTTCATGGGGGGGAAATTTCGAGTTTCTAAGAAATGAATCAATCACAAATGCTTACAAGCAAGAGTTTAAGTAAAACTCAAGTACACAAGGGAGCTAACAAGCCAAATTCATAACTTCAAAATAAAATTCAAAAGAGAATGAAATTAAAGTTGGAAATGAAAGAAGAAAGGTATGAGGGTGAAAACTCTAAAATGAATCGTGATTTCCTCATAATGCAAAGTACACATTAATACAAAAATTTGGCAAAAAGAATCATTTAAAAATGATTAAAATTGAGAGAATTATGTTAATTTGAAGTTTTAAGAAAAAAAACAAAGAAAAATAGTGATTAAAAAGAGGAGAGTGTCTACACCAAGGGTAGTGATTACAGGTCCAAAATCTCACCACTCCATCTAGCACGCGTGTGTGAACATTGAGGGAAGAGAGGCAGTAAAATATTAAAACATGGAAAAATGCTAAAAAGCCAAAAAGTTGTCCCCACTGAGGATTGAACCAAGGACAGTGCGCAAGATAGGATATTTATATGCAAAGTGACAACCACTGGGGTGGCGATACATCCATTGTATCAAGCCACCCCATAGGAAGATATACCATAAGGCGTGAAATTTCTGGGCAGGCTTGGAAGCAAGTTTAAGGCAAGAACATGGCAAGACGATTTGATTCAAAAGCCCTCCATACTTAACCAAATTCAAAGAAATTTAATCCAAAACTGATTGATTTTTCATGAGTATTATGATGGTAACAACCTTTTCTTCAAAAGATGTACATACAAAAGAATTCGAGTGAACATGCATATGTGAGTTTTGAAGAGCATTTGGAAATCAAAGTTTACAAACTGATGTGTTTAAAGCAAGGTGATGCTCTGAGCAACTTCCAAACATGCTATGGAAATAGTTCTAAAAAGAAAGTCAATTCAAAAAGCATCAGAGCAAAAAAGTATGTGATTTGCATTAGTCATAACATGACATGGTGTTAAACCAAAACAAAGTGAAAACCAAGAACCAACACAAACCCGCTCCAGCTCTAAACAAATTCATTATAATTTTAAAAGAGAAGGTCTCAAACTCTCATCTAGACAAGACATGATTTAGCAAACAAAACTTATGTTTTTGCACAAAGATTTCCTCAACACAGCACAAAGATCTCCAAAAGACAATGCCTCAAAGGCATGAGTTCAACAGCCACATGGATCAACTCAAAATGCAACAGGCTAAGAGCTTCACACACACAAATTAGCAGCTTTAAAAAACAGAAACTTGAAGGCAACATAGGTTAACAAACCTCAAAGCATCAATTGACAGTAGATCCAATGCCTCAACATGTTCACCAACAGTTTCAAAAATAATAAAGACAATGCAGAAATGAGACAAACAGTTTACAAGCTTAACTCATATGGATTCTAAACCTATTGAAATTCTGATAAAAATGTAGGTTTGACAAAAAAAGGATAGCAGGCACATAGAGGTCCAGCAATCAAACTTTTACAAAAGTAGATATGCATACCAAGTTCTCAAACTGATTGAGTGAAAGTCAAACCACAATCAACAATCCTTCTCACAAATCAAAAACAGTTTTGTTTAAAACAGAAAGAAAACATAGTTTGGCATCACAATGGAAACATGTATGCAACAATGAGCATGTACAGGTTGAACAACCTCAATTCAAATACAGTTGCTGACAGCAAACAGATACAATCAATATCATGTTGATCATCAGCCTTCAATAACACATAACCATGCCAATCATACAAACAACCCTAATACATTGTTCTGAAGTCAGTCACCACTTTAATGCAAACAAAAGAGATTTGGATAAACCAATACTTAAAAACAAATCAAACATGAGAGTTGCAGACCTATCATTACAATGTTAAGCTGGAAAAAAAAGCACATTTTAAGTAAAGAGCCCCTGATTCCATGTAGGTCATCATGAGTTTGACAAACTCAAACATAAGGCATCTCTAACAGCAG